CTACTGCATGTTAGCTAGCTTGTTTAGGGGGAAAACAAAAGCATTACTAAAAAGTGTTCCTACACTGACAAACTCTTATTCTGTTTTTTCATAAGATATGTTCATGTTGCTATCTCTGATCCAAGGGCTGATCTTCAATTATAATGCTTAGATGGATAATTGTGCTTTTTCTCCAGTTACACTGGTAATGCATATGGTTAATTAATAGCTACAATATTTGTTCCTATGCCTCTCACTCTCCATTAATAAGATCCATCCAAATTACTAATCTTCATCCAAAAAGCCAAAGAGCTACAAGTATCCTGCAAATTTATTCTGCTCATATGTTAATTGTTGCATCTTCTCTGGTTGCTACACTGCAGGTTTCATTGGGGATAAAATTCCAGTAGTGCATGCTGTATAAACATGAGAACACCTTAATTAGAAAACAAGGAGTATACCTTTAAGAATTTAAGAAGTAATTTTTAAATGACACTAAAGATAGGTTGTTTGAGCAACCTATGATCCCTTGCATCAGTTTCTCAGAAAAAAATGTAAGAATGTAGACTAACTGCCTATTCTTTGTACTGGATGACTGAGTTTCCTGGAAAAATTAATCTTATTCTGAACAGAGAATTTTAAGTGAACCTAACATTTCAGGACACTTCCATACTGTTTTATATAAAAAACCTGTGAGATCACTTGTTTGCCCATGTTCAAAATGTTACAGGCTGTTTGGAGCCAGATCCTGTAAACCCTTAACTCATGGAACCTCCATTGATTTTAATAGGGTTTCTGCAGGTAAACTGCTTTTAGGATGTGGCCTCCCAAAAGGCTCTTTCTGGGAAAAGTTTAAGAAACCCTAAGGCATTCCATGATCCAGGCATCAAATTCCTTAATGCCTAGCCCTGAAGCACAAGTACCTAATCTCCCATTTGAAGTGCTCACTGCGGACACAATCTGGCTTCCATTTAAAAAAATAACAAAATTCACATTGACCTCACACTGGGAGCATGATCAGCTCTAATTTATTTACTTAGTTGTGCCTGAAAAAAAGACTGAGTAAAGACCTCAGAACTAGGTTACCAGGTCCCAGGCCCGCAATAAACTTTGTGCAGATGGCCCCTGTACCCATGCAGAGCTCACTCTGCATCATAAGGGCCTTAGTTATAAAATAGTACAAATACAGAGTAGGGGAAATATCGATAAACATCTGCACGTGATAGGTTATATAAAAACAGTCAAAATTGTGTTATTTCTGGCTTTTCCATTTCTATTTAATGCACTGAATATGAAAGCATTTCCGCCGTGATGCGTGATACAGGCGATGTGTCATGCTACATTTTGATGAATTTCAGTCACTTCAAGGATTTTATATTATTTGGAGAATATTTTCCCCCTCCAGTTATTCTATTGATTAGAAAACATGTGAAAGAGTATATCTAAATATAGGTCACCCACTGCAAATTCTTTCTAGCTTCTAAGAATAAGCTACCTCATTTTAGTTTAAGTTGACACAGTGTACTCATATCTTAAGGCCAAGCTTTGGGTTTTGGCATCTAAGGTAAATATAAAAAAACAAGTACAAAAATCCACAAAATTTATGGCCTTGAAAAATGAACCAAGAATGCCAAGAAAATAAGAACAAACAAAATCAGTCAAATATTACCCTTCCAAGCCCTGATTGGTTCTTCTACTCTGCCTATTCAAGCCTGCTCTTGCATGCAATATTTACTCTTTGGTCCTTAGTTTCTTTCTTGTTCTTTCTATTCTGTTTCACTAATAATGCCTTTAAAGTGAAATTATGCATCCTGCAGACAAAACTTTTTTTTCTAGAGCCAGTACTATTATCAACCCCTCCCCTTAGTTTCTTAGTGTGAATATATTCCAACAACTATGTTCTAAACCCTTGGTGAAAATACAGTTCTGTTATTGTGTTGGCTGTTTCCTTGAACACATCATAAAATAAATATACATTGAATTGCATTTTTAAACATGTCCCAACCCTGCAATCATTTTCTAACTGGAAGATGCCAGCAGAGTTTTGTGTCAGCACAATAACTGCTAATATGGATGGCACTGTAGAATTAGGGGCAAATTCTACTACAGTCATATAATGATAATATATACAATATACAGGAAATATACAATATTTTGAATTGGTTACTAGAAATTATGGAAAAAACCCTACATTTTGTTTTTAAGCCAAGTCTGCATTGCATAACCATTTATAAAACCAGTGGGTGTCTATACACAGGCTCAGGGGCTGCTCTGACGTGCTGTAATTACAGCATGTTGGAGCAGACTCAATTAACCGAGTCTGCTGGACCATGGCCTCATAATAGCAATTAGGCCTCATAATAGCATTACTTTTTTATTGTCAAAATTAGGTCTTTGAAGCCACTACTGTCATATCCGGAAACATGATTGGTTGGTATAAAATGATCTGGACCAAATACAGTTCTGCTTTGAAGAAGAACAAATATTGTCGTTACCCCAAATATTAAGTGACACTTGTCTTTGTAGAATGGCACACAAATTACAACATCTGCTCACTTGCCTGAGACTCAGTTGCTCAAGTTAACACCATCTGGAATGTAATATTAATGTGGACAGCACCATTAGAAGTCAGTTTGACATGTTGAAGGTTGACAAGGAATACTGACAACACCTTGGAGAGCTGAAGAAAGAAACTCAGAAAGACAGTTTGACAGCCCCTTGAAGGTTGTGACATAAAGATCATTACCAATTAAGGTGGAGGTGAAGGAGGTATTGGGGTCAAAAGGACACCTGCCTCGTCCTCTCTCAAATTTGTGCGATTCCAGTTGAAACAGATGATCCTTTAAAAAAATATGCAGAAAACAGTATAATTAATACACACCAAAAGGTATCACTTTAAATTTATTTCAGATTGACGGTTTTTTGAAGTGTAAAGTTACAATTGCTCATTTGTCTTTGGATTTTTACAAGCCACCTTTGCATGAAGGCAACACTGAAACAATCATGGATGTATGTACAAACTGCTTTATTTTTATGGAGTAAGAGGAAATGATCTTCTTTACCAATTAAATAAATGTTCAATAGCTACCTAACCTAAGAATGCATTTGTCCTGTCTGTGTGTCTTCCTGTAGATTGCTTAATATATTTATATTACAATGCTTTTTGTCTGTAGCTTTGGGACCTTTTTGTGAATTCTCTATTCTAGTACATTTTAAGTAAGAATCTTTGATTAAAATATTCAGAGCAGATGTGACTCATACTGCTGACATACTCCAATGCAATAAAAGGCATTACAACTTGGAACTTTGTTTCTGTTTATTTAAATGTTTATTTAAATACTCACTACAGATAAAGTAAAAACAGAAAAAGTGTTAAGTGCAGTTATGACAATTGACTCCCCCAAAGATAACCAAGAATGTGTATTATACACATATATGAATATAGTATACTTCAGCAATACCACAAGTTCACAAGTTTATGCAAAAGGGGTAGGAAATATCCTTAATAAATTATTCATTTGCTGTACTGAACCTACCTTAGTTTTAGGTCAGTGGCATGTATGTCAAAAGTTTTGGAGGCATATAATTATGCAAGAGAGATAACTAATGAACTACAGATTAACAAAAAGGACAGAAAGGAGAGCAAGAAGAGGATAGGGAGTTAAGGCATGGGAGAAGAGGAAATGAAAATAAGAGACGAAATAGGAAAGGAGGTGGAGAAGGAGAGTGACAACTTCATTACTACTCACTAAGGATTAATCAAAATGTTCTAAATAAATGAACGTTAAATGTCTTGGAAATGCTATTCTATAGTTTCCAGGTCAACCAGTTTGCTGTTCTACTTTCCCCAAAACATGACCTGTCTTTCTACCTAAGCATCATAAGCTATGATTATTCCATAATGCTGCTGGTTATTTTTCAGACCATGTGGAAACTTTCATTCCTTCCCATAGCTGTTAAACACCACATAGCAGTTTTCATAGAAACAAAAAATCAGGATGTTTTGGGTCAACAGTAGAAAAGAACAACAAAAAGGACAAAATGAGGGGGTGACGGGTAGAAATACTGCTGAAAACCACAGCAATACACTAGAGGGTCATTATGGTCCAAAAATATGATGTAAAGGAAATTCTTCTTAAGATAAACTGCCTCCTGCTGCTATTTCTGTCCTAATCAGCTATTAAACACATTATTAATGAAAAATATCCTCTCCCCAGGGTTTCATGACTAAAGCATTTGTTAGTAGTTCACAAAGACAAAATATGAGAACAATTTTCAAACAGAAGGTGCAAAAGTATTTAGAGAAATACCTTTGGAATTCAAAGATCTGACAGGTGCTCCCAATAATTTTGCTGCCTATTCATTCTCTCTCACATTAAAGTAACAATGAGATACTTAACAAAAAAAATGGCAGCAAATTTAAAACCAATTAAATAAACTTCTTTGAATAAGGTGAACCGAAAAGAGGGTGGAAACAACATTAAAGCAAACTAATGTGAATCCTTTCAAGCAGTTACTCAACGCTATTTTTTTGCCCTATTTACTAGTGGTGTGCAAAATGGGCCATATTCGATTAGGATTCGGCCCAATTTAGGGGACAGTGATTTGATTAACTGATTTGGATCACTGTCCTGATTCAATTCAGCTGAATTCTGAATCTGAAGATTCAATTCTGATTTGGAGAATCAGCGAGTCAGCCATAGACAGCTTTAAATGTTTTTTCTACATACTTCGAGGTACCAGGTGCAGCTTGTGAATGCTGAAATGGTGGGGTGGATGGAGTATCCCACAGGAATGCAGGGGGGGCCCCTCGCATGCTTGGCAATTGGCTGCAGGTTGACCCCAGGTCGCCCCCAGACCCAGGAGGCACCAGTTGCTGAGCCAGGGGACGGGGTCCCCTGTGTGTTCCACGGCTGACCTGGAAGTGAACCAGAAGTGCTTCTGGTCCACTTCTGGGTTTGCCTCTGAGTCCGCTGGGCCCACCCCCAAGCTCCATCCACCATCCATGCTCCATCCACCCCACCGTCTCAGCATTCACAAGCCACCTGGTACCTTGAGGTTTGTAGAAAAAACATAAAGCTGTGTCTATGTCTGAATCATAGAATCTCTCTGAATCTCTATGAACTGATTTGGAGGCTTCTGATTCGATTCAGAGAGTTTAATGGGTCTCCTGATTCAATTTGGATTTGGAGATTCAGCCGCCGAATCTCCTCTGAATCAAATCAGAGACCGAAGCTTCACCCATTATCGGATATTTGATATGGAAATATCCTACAGAATTTTACTAATAGAGCATTACAGAAATGAAATAGGGTCCAACAAAAATCACTCTTAAAACCTATAAAAATAATAAAAAATAACCATATAACATTTCTGAAAGTAACAACAGAAATTAATAGAAAATTCTCTCTTTGCTACTTAATTTAATTGTTTGGTATAGATATTCTATTCAAGATTGACAGTTACCATGGGAAAAAGGGGGGGAGGGTAGTGACCCTTTTAGTAGGTTAAAAATCAAACCACAAAGTGAACTCACATGTCCTAGATGAACATCTTTCCACCTGAGGGGAAAACCAGGAGTAATGGCCACAAACTCCTGGAAGATTGATTCAGGCTCAACATTAGGGAAAACTTCTTCACAGTCAGGGTATCTAGACTGTGGAATAAGCTCCCTCCAGAGGTGGTCCAGTCACCTACCATGGAAATCTTCAAGAGGAGACTGGACGGTCACCTTGCTGGGGTCACCTGACCCCCAGTTATCTTTCCTGCTTGGTACAGGGGGCTGGACCCAATGATCTTCCGAAGCCCCTTTTGGCCTTACAATCTATGAAACTATGACTATAAAATACAAAACACTATATACTGAAACCATTAAGTTCCCTATAGCACTTTCTAAAGTCAGAAAACTTTGATTAATCCCTGGTGAACGAGAATGAAGATGTCACTCCCCTTTTCTACCCCTCTGTTCTATTTCCTTTAAATGATACCCACACATATCTCCTTGCAGGAATAACCCCATTATAAGTACATAGTGTACATTGGTCCCTAATGTTCAAAGTGATGTAGGGTCTTAAGGGAAAAGAGTTTCAATATATTTGATGAAAACAATTTACAACACAAGACAGTCAAAACATAGAGTATTTTTTACTACTTTGATATTATGATAACATTTTCTTTTAATTTGTCAGCCAAGATAAGAAGCCAACCAATTAACCCATAATGATACTATCAGGTTAACATAAATCACCTCTATTATGGTTCATACGATGTACAGTGCAGAGATTTAACCATAGCAAGAATGTTAAGTAGCATTTATTTTCTTTCACTATCTCTATTTTAACAGATGAAATTTCTGAATAAACAGTATGGTTTAAATTTATACGGCCTTACCAGTAGTCAAGGTGGAAAAAAATTGCATTTTAGTACAGCTTAGATAAATTTCTAAGTGGGCCAGGCCAGTTTTGATAGAAAGCAGGAGGTCTCTCTCATAAATGCTAGCAGATGCCCAGGCTAGTTGGGAATAAGGTCTGCAAAATGTAAGTCATGACTCCTCCTAACAGGGATTTTCCATTTTACCCTTTTAAAACAGCACAAGAAACACTACATAGTGGCTGTACCTTGTTCCCAAAAAGAGACTGACTTACTGAAGATCAGATAGTGATCTGGCTATACATTCATTCAATTAATGGTGTAATAAAACAAAGACTAATCCACAAAGTTATTAGGTAAAATATGTGTAATAATCCTTGTACAAAATATTTGTAATAACTTTGTGGCTGGTTCCTATCAAAGTTTTAATATAACATGTGGCCAGTTCTCCCAGATTTTGGAGCATACAAGGGGCCTTCAAGACTCTCATGCGATCCAGAGGCTGGGCAGACTGGTCAGCTGATGGGGCATCATAGCCTGGGGAGTGCATGGAGGCCTTAGCTCCTATGCCTTTCCCCTGCTGGCAGCACCCATCAGCTGATCAGAGCTCCCAGCCCAGGGACTTCATGGTGAGGTCCCCTGGCTGGGAAAACTGATCAGCAGACTGATCAGGGGAGCCAAGGGATCTCCTGCACTTCTCTGCCTTGGAGCCTGGGTCAGTTGATCAGGGTCCCTAGCCAGCATAGTGCAGGCACCAAGCAGGGGGAGACTGGGATGATGATCCTGGGGGTCCTTGGCACTGGCAGTATGAGAGAATGGGATCCATTTCTCTATCCCACAATCGTGTCTCCTGCCATGCACATGCAGCATGACAGGAAGTGCAATGGTTGGGTTCAGAACCCATCATGCCTTTAATTTAACATAGGCCAGTGCCCTTAGATTCCATATGATGACAGGTTAAATTAAATAAGCATTATACATGGATAATCAGCTGCAAGGACTAATACTATAATTCTATATTTTCTTACTGTTTGTGACATTGGAATCCTTTGAGAAATGTCAGAAGAAAACCGACACATTACATCATATAACAGAGCAATTCAACGTTGTCATTTATTTTATATAAACTTTCCAGTGGTAAGGATAAAAGGCATGTAAAACACAGATGGGGGTAGTAGAATTACTAATATCTAGGAGTAGATTGAAAAAGCAGAGCTCTGGGTTTGATTTATGATACCTCTGACTAAAGAAACTTAATACACATTCAGCTATTATTAAAATAATCATCTGTTTCATTGAAATGTGTATATGCATGGTTTCTAAGAGCAGCAGCCATTTTTCCATTAACTTAATGGCAACTGATAATCTTAGGCAATGAAAAATAATGAAGATTATAAATAATAATGCAAGAAATCAGAACTATTAAGATTTAAGATCTGCATTTGACTTGGAGTGTAGAGCGTTTCTTTCT